AAAGTCAAATTAAAAATAAACACCCACCCCTGGTCAAAAACTTTACAAAATGATACTATTCAGTTGTCACAGATGTTCTTTACCACTTTGATAACTCCATGTTGCAATTTTCTGAAGTCTAAAGTTTCATGTTGTCTGCACATGTACTTTCTTTGGAGATGCCATTTGCCTCCAGACAAATTGGAAAATGATCAAGATATAGTGATTGATTCACATATTGTATTGACATATGACAATGATGTTGACAATGCTTTTTAGTCTCCAATATTTCAGTGACTCACAGATTTTTTTAAATACAATTCATTATACTGTAATTTACGATTACAGTATACTTATACAGTGTACTGTAAAAAAATAACAGTGCATTATTCGGTAAAAACCCCAGATATTTTTAACAGTGTGCTATGGTTTCCAACCGCAGTAACATTGGGCCAATAGAGACCTTAAGATTGACGTTTACGGCAAACGTCAAACCGCTAGCGAAGTTTTTGATTTTACAACTCTATTATTATAGCTTTTACACCAGTTTTGAAATATGTTAAACTTATTAAACTTGTGATCTTTAGCAATGATTTAAGAAAGCAAATTAACCACTAGTCATGCCATTCACCAAAGCAATAAATTAAGATTTGGCGTTTGAAGTTGACGTTTGGCGTATAAATTTCATGCTGGAACTGCTACGAGGGCTTGTAGTCGTTAAAGCATGAAATTTATATGCCAAACGTCAACTTCAAACGCCAAATCTTAATTTATTGCTTTGGTGAATGGCATGACTAGTGGTTAATTTGCTTTCTTAAATCATTGCTAAAGAGCACAAGTTTAATAAGTTTAACATATTTCAAAACTGGTGTAAAAGCAATAGTAATAGAGTTGTAAAATCAAAAACCTCGCTAGCGGTTTGACGTTTGCCGTAAACGTCAATCTTAAGGTGTCTAATAAGGGAATAGATTTTACTCATCCCTCCGAGAGAACAGTTTAGAATTGATACACAGCGTCCCAGTAGACATAATGACCCAAGAATACTGTTGTTTCTGCAGGCATTTCAATATATGGAAAATCTTATAAAGAGACTCGACTCTGCTACCAAATGTACAGAAAATACTGCATTACATCAATTACTGGTAAGATTTAAATTTGTCCAATTTGGTGCACTTGCTATTATTTGAGGTGGGAGGGAGTACGGCGTTATGACGCGAAAACGACATTCATGCCTGCCATCTGTTTTTGCATTTGTAGGATTTTTTTGAATCTTTCAGCAAATTATATCCGTGTGTCTTCTCGAGGTCACTATTACAGGTAAGTTTTGAAGTGTCTGTGCCAGTGTAGGTAGTGTCAAAGGCCTACTCTGGGACCTTAACTCGCCCTAACTCGCCTTAACTCGCCTTAACTCGCAAGGGTCAGTAGCCAGATTTTTCCTTAACTCGCCTTATCTCGCCTTAACTCGCATAGGCTCGCCTTATCTCGTGGCGAGTTAAGGTACCAGACCTTAACTCGCCCTAACTCGCCTTAACTCGCCTTAACTCGCAAGGGTCAGTAGCCAGATTTTTCCTTAACTCGCCTTATCTCGCCTTAACTCGCATAGGCTCGCCTTATCTCGCGGCGAGTTAAGGTACCAGAGTAGGCCTTGTCAATAATATAAACAAGCTTTCGTCGGTAGGGATGCAACTACCTGAAAATATAAGGAGAATTTCGACGTTTCAGTAACTCGAGGATGAAGGGCCTTCGCTCGGAACGTCGAAATTCTCTTTATATATTTTCAGGTAGTTTACGTTTAAAAAACGTTTACGAAAACTACTTGTTTTACAAGTAGTTTACGAAAGCTTGTTTACGTTTTTGGTAATTTAAATTATTTTCTCTTTCTGGGAAGCTGGGTTTATAGGGCTCAAAATTTTCTGCAAAAGATTACAATAATAATATATAGGGAAAAATAACAAATTTGTCATTTGTGACTGTCTCTTTCACCTAACACATGGATTATATCCATTAATTTAAGATGTGTTGTCGTGTGAAGCATTTTAGCTTTTAGACTGATAATGCATGCAAGATAAATCCTGAAGTAGTCCTAGTAGTTACAGTCTTACTGGATTAAAAACAAAGTTCCAACTGCAGGCTATATATGAATATTTTCATTTCATATGTTCCGCTGTATAACTTAGGTATCGAGTTAGAAGACTTTTGTGACTTCAATATCTAATCAGTGTTATTTTCAGAATTCGCTATCAAACATCAAAAAGTATCTGTGAAAATTTCTGCAAAAATGTAGATCCCCCAATTTTTTTTTAACTAGGTTCCCAGGTTCCGATAATTTTTCGATCTCTGGTAACATGTCCAACCTAGTGCATGATAGTTCTTAAAACACCGACCTATCTCAGTTAATTAAAAGACTGCGCCAGATACGGTGCCTACGGTATGATGTTTGATTTATCATTAAATATTATACTTTTCAGATTATCTTCTGGCATAACAACAAAGTTTTTGGCAAAACACCGTTATCTGCAGTTCTTCAACAAGCTATCAAGCAGTTCAACAGTCCGCCATCGATTGCTGAAAAGTGAGTTACTTAATAATCAGAGAGTAGAGAGATTGAAATTTGGCTTCCGCTATCTCTCACAGGCACGCATTTGATTGGTTAATTGGGTAGATTGAATACACCTGATTGGTTAATGGTAGCTATGGCAGGAAAAAAGACTTTTCTTCCTGGGAGCACAAACTGGAGACAAAAATTTCCTGAAGACCCACGGAGTATTTTTGTGCTAAATTTGTATGTGCATAAACACATAGTGTTCTGGCTGACCATGGTTTTAAATTCAAGGAATAATGTCTGTCAACCATATGTTTGTTGCGCCCATAGTGGGACATGGGTGTTAAGATTTCCTTCAAATTTTCAATAGCAAATCTTCATTCAAACGAATCTCCTGCAGCTGTTTAACATTTCCTGCGAGCAGTGCTCACGTGCTGGCCTATTTTTTCCACCCCTGATTGTAGCGGTAATGAAAGTCAAAATCTGAACCTCTGTAAAGTTGACGAAGAGACAACTCATTCTATCTTAATGTTTACAGTAAGTATAAACATTCTGTTCATTTGTAGGTCGCCTTTAATTAACAATCCTCAAGCTCAGAAGTTTGTGGAAAGTTTTCTTACAATGGCTGGACGGGTAAGTGAGCAACAAACAAACAGACAAGCAAACAGACAGACAGACAAACAGACAAACAAACAAACAAACAAACAAACAAACAAACAAACAAACAAACAAACAAACAAACAAACAAACAAACAAACAAACAAACAAACAAACAAACAAACAAACAAACAAACAAACAAACAAACAAACAACAACAAACAACAACAACAAACAACAACAAACAACAACAAACAA